ACACTGCTCAAGAAGCTCTCAACACCGCCGTATCCTAAGTAACTTTATCTCAAAAGCCTGCAGGAGTGTCGCCGAAGAGCGAGCATCTGTGGGTTTCAAGCACGAGTTCCTGGACTGATTCATCTCATAAATATTGATGTTCGACGTGGGATAATCAAGCCTTAAGTCCGATGATCTCACCCGACAAGTGCTTCGAAGATCTCAGTGGAGTAAAAGTAGTGCATATCTCCCTGTGGATGAGTTCAGAATCATCCGCCATAAGAGAAAAAAAAGGTGATATCTAGAGTCGCTAACAGTCAAGAAGCCTGATTTTTTCGAGATTTGCATTCGTAGCGATGCTTCTGAACTGTCGGACTTGCCTCACCTCATCGCTGTTGACCACGGATGCAACCCCACGGTTGCCATCCGCAATCTGCAGGTGGGTTTCTGGCGCTTGCATTCTACTTCGCGCCTTTCGCGGCGAAGCCACACAGGGACGGATTGGTGTGGCCTTGTCCTTGTGCAGTTCAGTGCAGGGTGGTTCTGGATCAGTTCCCGATCAGTCTGTTGACAGGGTGCAGTGCCTTTGCAGCTTTTACGTCACTTCAGTTACGCTGGTACAGCAATGTCTGCTCGGCCCAAGTCTATTTGTTTGTTGGAGTCTACAGGTTGCTTAGTATGCTTTGGTTGCGAGGGAGGATCCTGTTGTCTGGTCATCGAATCAGCGCTGATCAGCCTGGCTCCATGCAACACTGCTCCCTTCGTTGCTACAGTTCCCCGTCACTGCATCCTCAATATTGAGATCATGTCTCTCTCTCTCTCTCTCTCTCTCTATCTTTGTATACACATTACCAGCTCAAGCTGAACTTCGTCGCTGTTACTAACGAAATGGACAGCAGTTGGGCTACGTAAGGAGTAGCCAGATTGCTGTAACTTGGATACAATGGTTGCAAAACATTGAAATCAAGCTGCTGTGGAGGAACTGCTGTCCACACAATGGAATGTGTGGGAAGAGGCTGTTATGACTCATACACAGATTGACTTCAATGGGGGAGTTTGTGCATGATTTAAGCCCATGGTGATCCCTCTTATTCTTCTAGTTGATGGCTCTCTAAGTGGAGGATTTTCATGACAGCATAGAGGATCTTCATGCATGAGTTTGTCATAATTTGTGTATTAGTAACTTTGGATGCATATATTGTTTGGTTATGTGTTAGTGTATTTTTGTAATAAAATTTTGTTGAATGAGTGACTGCCGATTGATTAATATGATCGATGGTCGTCAAGGCTTTGGCATTGTGATGTGATGTTTAATTGTTATTTCTGCTGAAAGACATTGTAATTTTTTCTGGACAGAAGTTGTTTATATTTTTCCCATTTCGACACAGGTTCACTGAAAGTAGTCCATTCGGAAATGAGAGGGTCGCATTTTTCTTTTGATTGATTTGTACAAAAATTAAGTAATGTTTGACTTATTATATTGAAACACATCCTCAATATTATCATTTATAGTTTAATAAAAAATAAATTTAGAGATCTTTAATCTTTATAAATCTTGGTTCATAGTTTGTGTTAGTCCTCAAAAAATTAAAAAAATTATGCACTAATAGCTATTTCTTTTTTCCATCATAAAATTAATGATAATTTAAAGCTTTATAAGATAAATATTAAATTTTATTTTATTTATATATATTTTTTATAAATAAAAAAAAAAAAGCACATAACATTTTTTTTTATTATAGAACACATTTAGATTACTGATTTATTCTTTTTTTTATTTTTTAATAGAAATAAAATTTACTTGTATGAATTCTTTAATATAGAATCTTTCACAATAATGAAGGGTTAAGAATGAAAACACAATACAAATATCCATAAAATTTATTGAAAGCTATTCCAAAATCTTAATTTTATGCACCAATTACAATCATTTTTTTGTTCTGTAATTTTTCTTTTATGCATAGATTAGATCTGTAAATTAGTAATCTTAGGTAGTATTAAAGATCTATGTTACTTCCAAGATTTATGTTGTAAATAAACATTTTGAACTTATATTAGATAAAGGCTGTAAATTTTATAGAATTTTATTTATGCTTTGAATCTTTTATAATGAATAGATTATGTACAAAAATTTAGGAATTTAAGAATGCTTAAACTATAGTAAAGGATAAGATGTTTGCATTGCAAGTTATGCTTTGTAATAATTTTATAAAAAATTGGTATAATTTAGATAAAAATTATAAAAAATAATTTAGTATCTAAATTTTTTATCTACTTTTTTTTAATCTAAATTGGTATCTAATTTTTTTTTAAATTATAAAAAATTATCTAACTTATTTAAATTGGTTAGTTTTGTTCTTTTTTACCTATTGTTTGCTCTTTTGTATATCAATTTTTCTTGCACAGATTTTAAATCATTTTTTTTTTTTTTTTTAAATGAGTATCTTTCTTGATACTTTTTTAAAAACATTTTTTTAAAAAAAATCTTAAATAAGAATAGAAGATGTAAGAGATAAATATGTCACACATTGTGTACAAAAATTAGAGTCTCAAATTAGAGTCTCAAATCTTAGTTCTTTTACACCAGTCAATTTTATTCATAATCTGAATTTCTTCAAAAATAATTTAAATATATAAATTTTTTTTTAGTATACTTAATTATGTCTTATATGTGTTAAATTATTTAGATTAATTTGTAATGCTATTGTATCTTCTTAAAAGAAAAAAAATAAAAAATCGTTTATAAAAATAATAAAATAATAAATTTATTTTAAAAATAATTGATATAAAAAGATAATTTTATATAAATTTATTTTTAAATAATTGGTATTTTATAACCAAAAATTAGAATAATACTTACAAATGCAATCTTATAAATAATAAAGAATGAAAATGTCTATTTTCTAATTTTTTTTAAAAAAGTCTTAAACTAAGTTTGAAATGAAAAAAATATTAACAATATTAAACATAATCTTAGTCTTGCTTTTAAATATATAAATTAATAAGAAAACTATATAAAAGCTTCCTAAAAACCACAAGACATGCAAAACAATGTTCTAAGTAGGAAGATGCTTTTATAATAACTTGCTAAATTCACAAGACTTCTAGAAGTTTGCATTGCAACCCAATACATCCAAAGACATGTATTAAACTAATCAACATAAAAAAGATTCAACAATGTTATATTAAAAAGATATTGTTTATTTAATATAATTATATTTATTTCTATTTATTTAAATAATATAGATATTTATGATATTAATCTAGTTATTTTTTATTTTATTTTATTTTTGGTTTGGTAATACTTTTAGAAGCCAAAAAGAATAGTTAGATATATAATATAATAACTTGATTGGATAAAAAAAACATAAAAGGCAATGTAAAATTTTAATGATCTATATTTTTAGATGATTTCAATTTATAAAAATTATAAATTATTTATCATTTATAATTAAAATAATGATTTATGTTTCTTTAAAATTTTATCGTTAAGTTTCTTAAATTATCATACAAATAAAATGACAATACAGGAATACTCTTATACCAAATTTTACATTGTTCCAATACTTGATTGTATGTTGTTTGTAGACCATAAATTTGGTGATTAAGTATGATTTTTAGTTAGTATTTTCATTTAGAAGAAAATGAAAATTTCAAAAATTGATACAAATTGAAGTCTTCTATTCCGTTTAGTGTTACAAGTTATCTTATGCCAAAATACAGAGCATTCAAAGGTGCATGACAAGATTGAAAAGAACTTTTTATCCATAACAAGAATTACAGCTAATATATGTATGTAACACAATAATATGGTTCTCAAAAATTTATTCTTTTGATTTAGTCTTTGTGGTTTTGGCTTTGTTTTTTGTTTTTGTTTTGTTTTTTTTTTGTTTTTTTTTTTTTTTTCCTTCATTTCTTTCATGAGAATTCCGAAAGTTGAACTAAAGTTTTAATGTTATTAGCAAAACTCTTCATTTTTAGAATAGGAATTTATAACTGTGATCATGTATTTTCAAACTTACTTGAAAAGCATAATATTTACCTAATAAAAGTTGATTTTATTTCATCTTTCATCCTATAATTAGTTAATATATTTGATTTAAAGTTGGTATATACATACATACATACATACATACATACATATATATTTCAAGTGCATAGACTATTCAAGTTTTCCCACAACTAGGATGTAATTTTAAATGAGAAATTCACTAATAAAAATTTAAGCATATTTTTATTTAATAATTTTCATAAAATAAAATAAAATTTATTATTCAACGTACTAGATAGTTAGTACTCTCAAACAAACAAACGACCAGAGTATCATCCACGTAACGAAAGTCGAAGAGTGTGTTCATTCATCGACATGGGGAACTGGATTCTGAGGACCAGGAGGTATTGGCGGGAAACCAAAGACAAGGACCCTGCTCCCATTGTCCCTCCCGCTCTTATCCTCCACCTCGGACGGATCTGCCACGTGTCACTTTCCCGTGCATAAGAGTGACATGTCACTCTTATCCAATCATTGCATGTCACGCATACATACGTACATTAATACGTACACGAAGGCGGTATATTCTTTCCTCCACACAATGGCAGCTCATTCTTGAGTCCCCGACGTTCAATACTTTGGAATACGAATACGAAGTAAATATAGAATGAATGGTACTTGGAATGTATCAGATCCAAGTCGAATACGCACAAGGATGTGCAAGCAATCCTTATAAATATTCTTATAAAATAATCTTATTAAGAATGAGTCTTGTTTTAATTCATATCTTAAAAAAATAAAAAATAATAATAATTATGAAACGAAATGCTTTAAGGAAATTAATTCCATGTTAAGTTTGAGGATGCTGCTATCTATCTCAAGAAGACAATTATTTCATTTTAATGGATAATAGAAGTAGATTTTTTGGACAGAAAAACTTTTAATTAGATTGTGTGATTTTTTCATAGAAATGAATGTGAGATTTAAAATATGAAAAACGGTATGAAAATTCCTCTCTCCCGGTCCGTCCCCGCCTCAGAGAGAGAGAGAGAGAGAGAGAGAGAGATCGTCTCGCTCACCATTGTGTGTTGGAAAGGCCTCCCCTACTACCCGCAATGATTTTTCCCTTGCTTCAGTCCGTTGCTACTTCAATTTCTCTGCTTCTACTCCCCTGTTCCGCCTCCCTGTCTTAGCCAGCCTATTATCTCGTATTTCCATGGCATGCTATGGTCAGTTGTGTGCGGTAGGAGATATGCGAATGTTGCAGTTGTGAGAAGGAGAAATGCTGTACGAAGTGTAAGACGAAAGAGTGCTGTACAGAGGTTACCGAGGTTGCGTGAGGCGTTGTTCTTTCTGGAAGGAGTTTGTACAACAGTTCCTATGGTGTAGATCCTCGGGGGAAGGCTCGTGACGGAGAATTGTATTTCTTGTGTTGACTGTAGTTATCTTCCTCGTCATGGTGGGAATAGAGCAGTATGAAGTGTTAAGCGGGATGTAATGACTTGCCACTCTGCAATGTGGTGGTTGTTCCCAATCGAGCTAGCATCTTGAGAATTGAAGCCTTGATTACGGTTTCAGTGTTTGTTCATGAATTGAAAGGTCACGTTGCACCGTTTGCCTTCGCCCTTGCCTCCAAGGTGACTGTGAAATTGCTGTATGAGTAATCTTATCCGGGAGTTTTTGAACTTTAGGATGTCATTATGGGGTTACGGTTAGCTGCTGGAGTTTGAGAGTTTTGGGAGCATTTGTGAGAATTCCTGGAAGTGGTACTGGTTTTGGCTCATGTGTCCCGGTCATGAGCTTACACTGACTTATGTCTGTCTTGCGCCGTGGGCGTATGACCATTCACATCGTCATCTTCTTCACAAAGCTATTCCACTGAAGTTGGATTCTCAACAAGGTGATTTTCTGAGAAATCACTTAACATGAGTTGACTTCTCCTTTTCATTGAGCCACTTAAATCTTGTATGTTAGTCACGCACATGAAACTGTTGTGCCTTTGATAAAGTTGGAGTTTGCTTGTTATGTTCCGTGGGCTAGGCTGCGATATGTAGAAGGCAGCACTGAATGTTACCACAGTGCTGATTATCAATAAAGCCCTGCTCCTTTGATCCCTGCGTTAACGAATTAACGAAGAGGCTGTCCTCCTCACTTTGGTTCTGGAATAGAGAATTGTCCTCTCCTTGGTCTGGTAGACAGGTGTATGTCCAACAGAAATGGCACGCTCGCACTTAAGTCGTCATTTCTAATTCCTTATAGGTTAAGTTTTCTTAGAATTACGTTGTTTGCGCGAATCTGGACGGCCTTGTTTCCTAAGTGCTGGATACCAGGTCAGGGTCACCTTGACAATTTCAGTTTCTTCAGGGAGGAGCAGTTTGTATCTCTCGAGAGGCAAATGCACTTCGAGGAACATGAGGACAATCCTTGTTAGCTTTGGTTGCTATAGAAGAGTTACACTTTTTACAGACCAATGTTTCAATGATAATCATGAAACTCGAGTTTCTTAGTCCTTTCAGGCTCATTCCGTAATTTCTCAAGTTGCATGATTAGTAAAAGATATCATGTACGTGATTTCATAGGGCGGAGCAATGCTGCTCGTAGATAACTTGGTTGTTACTGCCAGACAATAGTGTTCAGCCTTGTGCCAGTATTTTAATCTTATGTTACAACACCGATTATCCTTAGACTGGGTCAAATAATTAAAGCCAGTATCCTCTAGCGGTGAAGAAGACGGTAGGTGAGAGAGTAGAACCATCTCATGAACATTAATTTCTATGATGGAACATCAAGCCTTAATAACCCAGTTGGTGTGCTCATATCGTGGCTTTATACATATGGCACAGGGATTGAACATCTCAAGTTCAAACTTTAATGCTTATAAGTACCCCAGGATTCCCCCGACTTGATTCCTAATTTAAACTGACATAGGAGCAGGTATTGTTTATAGATGACTTGTGAACGTGTCTCCAGTTCACGAGCTCTTGTCATTGACGTTATTCTCATGACTTTGTTTACACCTTTTGGACTGGTATGTATTTTTTTCCGAAATAAGGCTGCCTGGTTACGAATTCTTGTATTCAAGTCCTACATAGTTTATATTTCATTTAGTTTCTACAATCTCGTATGCTTGATTGCTGGCTAATTGCGCCAGATCAACTCCTAATCATCTTTTTTGCATGTGGGGGATCCATCCAATGAAGGATAGTAGCATTCTGTGTATTCCTGATAAAGATGCTAACAAATTGTGATAGTCCGTGATTCTTTCATTGGCTGAATCAAAAGCATCAGGCTACAGATGAGACAGTGCAGAAATTTATGGGCGTGATGTCTTGCAGGATATCCATCAATGTTCTTGTTGGTTAGAACAGTCGGGAATGCAACCTGAGTCGGTAATGAAACAGAGTTGCACATGGCGTATCAGTACTCTCCAGGTGGCAGTCGCTGGAAGCCGACTGGTGGGACTCTTGTGGATGGGCGACTCAGGCATGATAAATTTACACAAGCATCCGATGCAGTGCAGCAGTTGGAGGAGCTGCACACTTCCTTAGGCTCAGTATCTCAAGATTCACTTAACATTCCTGCTTATTACACATTGGGCTCTAGCTCACAGGCAGTTAGCAATTGCTCCACTGATCTGGCGGGATGGATTGACTGCATGATTGAGGAACTTTCTTCCAACACCGCCTGTCCAATAATGGCGCCGCAGCAGCAGCATGGACTTTTAGAAGGTTCTTTCCTAAAAAATGATCATGACGCTAGCTCCTGCCGTGATTCATTGTTGGAAACGGGATCACATAGGCTTTCAAATGTCCAGTTCCAAGATACTTCTGCTGCTAGGAATAAATCTTCGACGGCTCCTCATAATGGCACGTCGCAAGTAAATGCCATTCGTACCACTGCAGCAGGTTTAGAGCAGCAACTCAATAAAATGGGCGAGGATGAGAACAATGGCATTCAATTGGTGCATTCTTTGCTGGCATGTGCGGAATCCATCCAACGAGGGAACCTTAGTTTCGCAGAGGAGACTCTCCGTCGGATCGAGCTGCTTAGTCTGCCACCAGGACCTATGGGCAAAGTGGCAACTCACTTCATCGGTGCGTTGACTCGAAGAATTTACGGGGTCGCTTCCTCCAGCGGCAACAACAGCAGCAGTAATCAGTCAGATTCTCTCTTAGGGTTGTTGCACTTTTACTTCTACGAGTCGTGCCCGTTTCTAAGATTCGCGCATTTCACTGCTAATCAAGCCATTCTTGAGGCTGTCACAGGGCTGAAGGAGGTTCATGTGATTGATTTCAATCTAATGCAGGGGTTGCAGTGGCCGGCTCTGATCCAGGCTCTCTCTCTCCGGCAGGGTGGCCCTCCGCGTCTGCGGCTGACAGGCATTGGACCCCCACAACCTAGCGGAAGCGATACGTTGCAAGAGATTGGCACGAAGTTGGCCGAATTAGCGAAAACCGTCAGAGTGGATTTCGAGTTTAGGGGGGTGATCGCTGTAAAGCTTGACGACATCAAACCATGGATGCTTCAGATACGCCATGGCGAAGCGGTTGCAGTGAATTCTGTGTTACAGCTGCACAAGCTACTATATTCTGCCGGACCTGAAGCTCCTATCGACGCGGTTCTGCTCTTAGTTCGTGAATTGAAGCCCAAAATTTTTACTATTGTTGAACACGAGGCTAACCACAACCAACCCTCGTTTCTGGGTAGGTTTATAGAGGCTTTACACTATTATTCAACCATGTTCGACGCGCTGGAAGCGTGCAACTTGCCTTCCGAGAACAACGAACAAGTCCTAATTGAGATGTACCTCGGCCGAGAAATCTACAACATTGTAGCTTGTGAGGATGGTGCTCGCACTGAGCGGCATGAAAATTTATTCCAATGGCGGTTGAGATTGTTGAAGGCTGGTTACCGGCCGATTCAGCTGGGCCTGAATGCTTTCAAGCAGGCCAGCATGCTGCTAACTATGTTCTCTGGCGAAGGCTACAGGGTCGAAGAAAAACTGGGTTGCCTGACTCTTGGATGGCACTCACGCCCTCTGATCGCGGCTTCTGCATGGAAATGTGCATGATCAATCCCAAGTTTCAATCGACGTTGCGAAACGATTACCTCAGTAACAACCATACACGCAACCCTGTTTTCAATGCGGTTCGATGATTGAAACGAGCACACAATGCATTGAACCTTCATCAGATCCATAGTGCAGTTGCTGGATCAATTCCATCTGACTAGTGTTTGCGGTCAGTACACAGCTTCGTTGTTCCGCCACCATAAAACAAGTCAACTCGATCACGTAACTTGAGAAAGAACTCAAACGCTATGTGAGGTAGTAATTGCGACCGACACAACCTCATCCTAAAATCGTCCTGCAGTAGAATCATCCGTGGTAGACCATCGAGACAGGCTCTGGAGATGTACCTTAGTATCGGTGATGTGCATTGCATACTCAACGATATCTCCAGAGAAATTGATTCTCAATCCCGTCCAACCCAACCACTTGCACCTTCACCACACTGTGTGCGCTCATAGCTGTTGATGAACTCATTAGGAGTTGATCAGATGACTGCGAGACCCAACCCAGTATGCAGGAACTCAATCTTCAATGTAAGTGTTTGCGCTGTAATGCTATGAGAACCCAGCTCGATGACTAAAACTAATTTCTGATGGAAATTAGTGGCGAGCTTGCAAGTTGACGATGAGTGAAACTGGCAACCAGATGTTGTGAGAGAGATGGAGAAAGCCATTGCTTAGGGATCTTTCTTCTTTCAAGCAAAGTTATGAATGATAATATTGCATTGTATTCTTGTAAAAAAATAGTCCTTCCTGCTGGTATGCATCAATTCGTTCTGAGGAAGCAAAGTGTGCAAAGAATTCGGCTAAATGCATGTGGTAATTGCATAGTTAATTGAGTTATTGGATATAAGTATTGCATTTAAATTTAATTACTTGTGTCATAAGTACATACAGTACTTCAATAAATAGAAGTAAATGTAAGTAGATTTTTTTTTTTAGATAAGTAACATATTTTTGAGGATAATTCAAACAAATAATTAGACAAAAAATAGATTTCTAGTTGTTATTATAAATATCAAGTGGTTCTACAAATTTTTGTTCAAATTTTTACATGTCTAGAAAGATATTATAGAAGTAATTTAAAAGTTCAATACTTGATGTACAATCTATATGGTTCTAAAAAAAAACTTCTACTTTCATTAAGTAATATATATAAAAGTAAAATTGATGCTATATTCAAATGGGTTAATGTTTTCTTTTTAAAATTCTAATACTTGTTTAAAACTATCTAATTTTATATACCTAATAACATTTATTTCATAATATTTTTGCAATTATCTTTATTTTTAAAAATTTATATAAGAATAAATATTTTTTTATAATTTTTATATAATTTTTTTATAAAAAAATTGTTATTATTATTTTGTAAAAATAATTATCAAATATTTTAAAATTAATATATTTTTTCCAATTTTTTAAAATATAATGTAAATTTTTATATTTATATTTGAAAAATATAAAATAAAAATAATAATAAATTTAGCCATATATCAATTTGTCATAATTGATTAAATTGAATTCTTCTATTTGATATAATTCTATGATAGCAACAAATATTGTTAAATAAAAATTTAGTTGTTTCTTTACATATGATAGTTTTTGCATATTGTACAAAATATATGATGTTAGTGAAACAATCTACTATCACAAATATATAGTCATTTAAACTTGAAATTAGAAGATTTGTGATAAAATTTATAGAAACAAAAGAAAATGATTTTGCTAGCATAGGTAGTCGTTGAAAAAATCCTTAAGAATAATAATAAGGAATTTTTTATTCTTAAACAAACATCACATAATTGTACAAAGTCTTTAAGTGTCTTCTACATTTAAGACTAACAAAAAATTCTTGATATTAGCTCTAAAATCTTATTGTACCAAAAATGTCATGTAACTAAAAACTTATGATAAGCTTGAAGAACACATAATTGTGCTTCACCTTTTAGATATATAAGCATCTCTTGAAAAAAAAATATATTTTAAAATTAAAACTTAGAAATATCATGAAATTTAAAAGAATTATTCTTAATATTATTAATAAAAGAATTTAAGAACATGTTTGATTGAACTTGCTTAAGAAAGATTAAATCAATAGTCAATGTTGATTTTATAATTCAATGATGGAATTACTCTAGCTTCAAAAAAATTATTTGTTATTGATTATAGGTTGCATCTCCTTCTTTTGGTAGAAGATAAGAATGTCTAAAAAAGATGTTTAATAAACCTTGTTGTTTTCCTACTTAATAAGTAATTTTGAATTCAAAACTTCATAAAGACATGCTCTAATAGGCTTTGTGATGATTCAAAATAGATATTGATATAAAATACTTGAGATTCTTATAATTTGTGTAAATAGTCTATGGACTTGAAGCACCTTCTAGATGATGACGTAATTTTTTAAGTGAATCTATAATTACTAAAATTTCATTGTTGTGGATCTTATAATAATCTTGTTTGCTTGAATTTTTTTTGAATAAAAAGCTATCTAGTAGAGTTTATCATCTATTCTTATTTGTGATATTATCAAATCAAAGGCAAACTTGTTTCTATAAAAAAAAAATGCTTTAAAAAAATCAATACAAAATAAGATTGAGGTTGTAATAAATTTTATTTTTAGAATTTTAAATTTTACTTGAATTTTTTTATTCTACTTAAGTTTGTCTTTATAATTCAAATGTGTGAATCAAACTGCAGATTGAAAAAGATTCTAGATAAAAATCCAATAATAATTGGAAAATTCCAAATAACATGGTACATATTTTATTGTTCTTAAAATCTTCCAATCTATAACAGGTTGAATTTTCTTAAGATCCATCATAAGGCCATCATTTGAAATATTATATCTTAAGAAGTCAATTTAAATTATGTAAAATATACACTTTTTTATCTTAGTATATAATCCTACATCTATAACTAACTATAATACATAAAAAAGATGAAGATCATACTTTTTGTGTACTTAGAATAAATTAATATATTATTTAGATAACATACAATAAAATTATTTAAATATTCTTAAAAAATATTATTTATTATGAATTTTCTTTTGGCATTATCAATAATAAATCTTTCATATAATTTTTTAATCCATATCAAAATTGATTGGTAAGGACTTTATTATTTTAATCTATGTTGCAAGCAAGGTTTTAGAATTCAAAAATATATATGATAGCTAATTATAATCTTTATTATAAAAATAGAAGTTTGATCTTTGCTACTTTTTTTTTATCACTTTCTTTAAATGTGGCTTCAAACATTTCTAAGAATGAATTTAAATCATATAGGAGTTATAAATCTATTATCATCAAAGATACAAACTAAAAGACATCACTTCTAAATAGAAGTGTGCTTATAAATCCAACTTGAGTAAATTCATTAAGCTATTGAAAAAGATGCAATCTTAAATAGAACTTGATTTTTTACAAAAATTATTAAAATTTTGATTTTATTCCATCAAATTTCTTCAAATTTTAATCTTTGTCTTTTTTATATTTATAGTAGCAAAACGTTTTGAATTCAATTGTTCATAAATAAATATTTTGAATTTTATTTTTTATAATAAAATAAAGATATAAAAATTAAGACATATTATTTATTTTTAACATGAATTATTTAGTTATTTTTATAATAAATATAAGTTTTACTTTTATTTTTAAAATAATTATATTTTCATAAAATATAGACTTCTAACTCAAGGTTGACTAATTATTCTAAATTCATAACATATTATAGATCAATAATTTTCTAAATCTTCTAAAAAATCAATATTAATAGATCTTATGATATATATATATATATATATATATATATATATATATTACTTGAAATGATGCAAATATTTGTAGTTTATTTTAAATAGAAAAAATATATTTTATTATGCTTTCATGGTTTTTTTGTTTATTAGATTTGTTATATATTTGTCTTATAATTCAAATACATAAGATATTTAGTCTAGTATTCACCATTGTATATATAGTCATATTATTTAGTATTTTTTAGTTTTTTGAAATATATCTAATAATAAAAATTATTACAAGTATATCTTTGTTTTATCATAGAAGAATCTAATAGCTTATATTTTATTAAATATTTTATTTAATTTATAAAATAATATTTTTCAACTACATAAAAATATAATAGATGTTAGTATAAACTTCAAATAATTAGAAATAACTAAAAACATACTAAAAGATAATATCTTATTTAAAAGAATATCAAAGAAACTTTTTAGATATAGATTGAATTTTTAGATTCTCTTTGATATGTCATATAATTATTAAAACCTGATGTGTAAGTTTCATATTTTTAAGAAGCTATTTTTAAATTAAACTAAAACTAAGACACTTAGATTCTCTTCCATTGCTTTGATTCAATATAAATTAACCACTACTTTTTGAAGAGTTGGCCCATGGCTAGCCTCCTCATAGAAATAAATTATTTTTATCCCACTTAAGTTTAAGAGACTTGAAACTATTTTGCTAAGAATTTGTTTCATAGCTTTAACAAATCATAGATGAAAAATAAAATGCTAGGTGTATATCACAATAGAATAATACTAAAGAAGAATTAATTCCATATAGCTAAATAATTATACAAAATAACAATATGTCTTATTGAAGTTAGCTTGAACTAACTTCCAAGTAAGAATACTTCAATATCACCTTAATACCAAAGTATTAGATATTAGATGTATGAATGTATTGTTCTTAACATCTCTAATCAATGCATTGGATATACTTCAAAATAAAACAAAAATAAGATCAAAAAAATATATGAATTTTTATATATATATATATATATATATATATATGTTTCGACATACACATGGATTATTTTATGGCACAATTTTTCAAAATTAAATACAAATAAATAAATAAATAAATATATATATATATATATCCACACACACGCACATGGATTAGTGTACGCCACAATTTTCCAAATGCAGTTCGAATACTTCATCAAGATTTATATTTTGTGGATGAAGACACAAGCTCTGCCCAACAAAGGAGAGTTTTCTAGCAGCGATTGAATCAAAGCAATGGAGGAGAATCCTCGAAGACAAGAAGCTGAACTTCACAAATGAATGGTGATGATCTTTGCGGGAAAAAGAAGAAGTGTCTCATAATTTCGACAAAGAGCCGATTCAGAAGTCATAGGATGCGCGTGCTTCACACCAATTTTTGAAGAGCGCATTTTGATTCAGGTGAAGACAAGATGCCGTAACTCCTCTTAAGGGCCATATCAACAATTTTGTGTCGAAGGGCTGGGAAAAGTAACCCTCGATTGTTCAAAAAGTGGCGTATCAGAAGCTCGGTTGGCGACCTACTTCAATGCGATGTGAAGAACCTGAGCTGGGTGTTCTCAAAGTTGGCGGTCCACCTGCCGAGTTGAACCTAATTCGCCCTGCGTCGGACGCACTGTAACAGGTGGTATCCATCGAACTGCGGCGGTCCCGGAGGTCAGATGTCGTGTCCGATTCTGAGCGGTACTCTTAGAAGCTCCTGCAAATACTCCGGAGCGTCCTGGAATAACCCTGAACCTCGCCCTCAAAGGGGAACCAGAACCTATCTGGGCAAGTGGAACGGTAGCTAGACTAGGGGTGTGCCCGGGGATCCATCACGACGTGAGCAGCGAGTGAAGGATAAGGCCAGGTGCTGCAGCGCGAACTGGTGAGCACGTTCTAATTATACTTGCATGTGCTGGATCAGTGGCGGAATGCAGTCATACTTTCCAGGTGAGATGGAGCAGAATAAGCTCCGAGGACTTCGATAATTTAAGAGCTTCCCTATCGAAGCCTACAAGCTTCTTAACTGATCTGGACACAAATAGAATGCGGTCTCCGTTGTTGAATTATGAATTTGAATTTTGGCGGAGCTCCTGGCAGATTTGGATTTTTTCCCAGGGGATTTCACGCGGCGAAATCCTCGAGAGCAGGCTCGACGCGGACCGTGGAAGCCCTGGGCAGGCTTCTCGCGTTCAGAGGAGTAGTTGCCACCAAAACAACCAATGTAGATAAATGTATGTCAGCACACAACGTGGATGAACGTTGGATGGTGAGTGGATTAGGAAGGTTTGTAAGACATCTTCACATTTACAAAATTATTTACATGTGCATATCAGAAAATTGATACAAAAATATAACTTAACTTGTTTGAAAGAAAAAAAAAAAAAAAAAAAAGGAAAAAAAAAGAGGATGATTTCGTTTCTTCACAACCTTGTTTAAATTTTTATTAATGTCGAAGCAAAAATTAATTATATCTTTTGCATGGTAATGCACACAACCCACAAACATTTTGATGAATATGTGTAGTGTTTTATAATATCATTGTTATTATCATCCCTATTATCAAATTTCAAAGCTATTGCCACACGAAAGATTTCAAAGCATCGCTGATGCTAAGCAAACAAATGCAATGTACTCTTTTCTAGACATCGTAAAGACGAGAGTTGCAATTAGACAGAGTCTCCCAACATATTAAGCCAAAGGAAGAAAACAAACGAAGAAGGCAATGAATCGTAGTTCGAAAGAATTTTTTAAAACAAACGACCCAAGTAGGAAGCAGTACACACAACTTAATGAATTCAGTAACATTCGCTTCGAAGCAAACATGAAATCTTTAGTGTGGTGGTGGTCGTGCGCGGGGTGGCGATGCTTCGTAGCTCCGGTGGCACCGTAAATCCACCCTCGCTCGATCGGACGAAATCACGCGGAGCCCTTCCCCGCTGTCTATGCCGACCTCTACGGATCGCTCCCTCTCGGATTCAGCGTCACAAGGTTGCATCGACACGAGGATTTTTCACGCGCTGGGTGTTTCTGTGATGCTTATAAGGACTCGCAGCTGAAAGCGTCGACAGTCCTCTCGGATTCTCTTGCAGTTCTCTCGATTGTGAGGGTGGAGTAGACTCGACTCAGCTGCTCTAGTTCAGTGGCAAGTGACATTGTGTACCTCGCTCGCTGGGTTGGTAGGCGCTGAATATCAGTTCTTAATAGATTCTGGGCACAGGTTGTGTTTATCGATAGACCCACTGTGGATTTTTCCACAGTCTGCTTGCAATGGCATCCCTTCGTAGTTACGGGTACGTGTTGTTGTTCGGCCTGGTGGCTGCTTGTTTGGTCGCGGCATCTGGAGCAAATGACGCAGATGATATTGATTTCGATACTTGGATGGGGATGATGAAATCGAACATTGAAAAAGGCGAAAACGAAGTTCCAGATCAGGAGGCGCTTGATGTAGCTGACGACGCAGTGGGTAGTCAAGCATCCGGCAAGAGCCGCGTCATCGTCGTGGACAAGTCTGGGAAAGGTGATTTCAGGAAGATTCAACAGGCTATCGATGCGGTGCCAGTGGGAAACAAGAAGCGCTTCGTCATTCAAATCAAGAACGGTGTCTACAGGTATGGCATCTATTCTCCGTGATGATTCGAGCAGGATTGTATTGCGTGAATGGTATGGGGATTCCACTAGTCGTGTATAATCACAGGCTAATGTTAGGATATTTTGCTATACATGAACTTGTACCAGTACTTGTTCTTGTTGGGGTCCGTGAAGAATCAGGCTAGATTAGATTGAAACATTGATGCATGCCCCGTAAGAAATGGATTAATGCCTGGAATGTTTTGCACTTCATGAAGTGATGTTGGTTGTGGCGCAGGGAAAAGTTGCTGGTTCCCAAGACCAAAGCCAACATTCACTTCAAATGCTCTGGAAGGAGGACGATCTTGGTCTGGGGCGACACCGCCGAGATGGCCGGGGGAACGTCAAAGAGTGCTTCCACCGCTGTTGAGTCCGATAACTTTCTGGCTACGGACTGCACATTCGTCAACTCAGCACCCGCACCCCCAGGTGGTGCTGTAGGGAAGCAGGCCGTGGCTCTGCGAGTGCAGGGTGACAAAGCGGCGTTCTACCGATGCTACTTCTACGGAGCCCAGGACACCTTGTACGCCAAGGAGGGGCGTCAGTACTACCGCAACTGCTATATTCAGGGTTCTATTGACTGGATCTTCGGAAATGCGCGAGCACTGTTCCACAAGTGCCATATCAATTCTATAGCGTTCAAAAATAGTGGGTCGATTACGGCGCAGAAGAGAGAGAGCAACAAGGAAGCGACCGGGTTCTCATTTGTTGGGTGCAAAATCACAGGATCAGGTACCATCTACTTGGGACGCGCTTGGGGCACACACTCTCGCGTCGTCTTCATCAGGTGCTACATGCAGAATATGATTCTGCCCATCGGATGGCAAGACTGGAACGATCCCGCCAGGCATAAGACGGTATACTACGGCGAGTACCTGTGCTCCGGACCAGGTGCTAACAGGAAGGGTCGCGCGAAATGGTCGAGGGCTTTGACGAAGAAGGAAGCTGAGCCATTTTCCACTGTTAAGTTTATCAATGGAAAGAATTGGCTTGGATGGTAGATTTTATCTGTCTACGCTGTATGTAAGTGTGGATAATATTGATAGAGGCGTCAGAATTGCCTGAGACTTGGCATAGCGTACCGTACTGGATCAGGAAGCGAGTAGTATTATTTGATTTCAGCAGTGACTCTTAGCGAAGACGAGCTAGAAAGGGTTTCTATCAGCCCCATGAGCACGCCGGGATATCGATTGGTGCCGTGTCCTTCATTCTTTTGAGAACGATTCTTTTGTAATTGAATTGAATAATTGATTTATGTGGAAAATACATCTAGCTCACGTCGGAGTTCTACTCAGAATTGACTTCAACCCCCGAACACCCCGTGACACACGAATTAAGATCCCGATGCTGTGACTCTTATACTCCGTCCTGTCGTCCATCTGAGAGCGAATCCTCCTTTGAGCGCCGTGTTGCGATATCGGCTTAGAATGATACAAGATTCAATTCAGCTAGCAGTCAATGGGGACAGTAAATCCAACCCAGTTTAGATCTGATGTAGATTAATGCCCCAACAGCATCCTTCATGAAAATACCCTTAAATGCACGGAAGTACAAAATAACCTCCTTTAATTCGTATTGCTTCCTCGTAACAACTATATCTACTCCGCCAGTATACTAACACAGAGTGAAGAGAAGTCCACATTCTTCTGACTCTTCATTTTTCTCTGTCCCCACACAAGATTCTCAACAAACAGAAAACGCAATGAATATCTACCAAATTTTTCATTTCTATTGCAGCAGCGTCATTATACACAACTACATTTCTAATCCGAGCGAAGCACTGCCAACCATTCGTGTGTAGCGACATCTTTTGCGTTCCATATTGCAACCGTGGATCGCTGCCAACATACGAAACATTGAGTTATCTGTACTTGTGGTCTGAATCCGGCCCAGAGATTCATCTTTGAATACAAGATCAATTTGAAGCTTCCGCTCAGCTAGTTTTTGTTTGAGCTGCCGGTTGTCCTGCTTCATTGCGACGGCGTCTAGAGATTCTTCCCCAGGCAGGCTCGTGTTCGTAGCAACTCTGCTGGTCGGAATCGGTCAACAGCACCGCCGGGATTCGTCCTGATTCCACTAGGATTTCTACATCTTTTAGCATTATATTTGCATAGATTGTGTTAATTTGGTCAATAGAAGTCTTTCGATTTCTAATCAATTTCTTTCACTTGGCTAATTCATACATTGAGCAAGAATCTCTGTTGATATACGAGCCTTGCTGTTTGAAGATCTTACGTGTAAAGATGATTCAGTTGTAGATTGGAATATTATCAATCCAATTATTGACATCTTCTGAAGTTTCTAATTCGATATCTTTTCTTTACAAGATTTTTATTTTTTATTATTTTTTTTTTGTTACTGAATAGATCTCTTGTAGTTGTTGGCTCTATTAACTAAAAGACCTTTTATTAGTAATTGAAAGAATTTATGTTATTAATATTCAATCCAAGTTGTGGTTTTGTAGAGAAGTACCACATTATTGAATATATGCCAAAAGAAGAAAAATAAAGTTAGTAGTCAAAATTAGTTTTTAAATAAAGTTTTGTATGTGACGTTTAGAAATATAATAGGTTTGTAGTTGCCAATGGTTTTTTAACATTCTATTTGAAAATCAAAATAATAAATTTTTGAATTGTAGATTTTATAGTAAATTTTTAGTAGAGTCTTAGATTATTTTAACAATAAATAAATATATATATATATATATATATATATATGTGTGTGTGTGTGTGTGTGTATATGTTTTTTAAAGTTATTTTTTTTAAAGACTAATGAATTTATTGTAATGTATCTAATGTGATCATATTTAGATACAACATCTAAGATATAGCATGACCTCTACTTTAATATTTTGTTTCTTATTTTTATAATAATATTATATATTTAAATATTATATAATTATTTATATATAGTCATTTGTTAGTCAAAATAAACTATGTATATAGTTGTTGTAGCCAAAATGTTAAGTCACGTTTTTTATATTAATTTAATACAAAATCACAAATACAAGCTTAGTTTAGTGTTCAAGTCAATAAAATTAGTAGCTAAAAAAGAACAAATAAAAGAAGAAAAATAAAATATAAAGAGAGTACTAAGAGAGACAAAGCATTTACTTACTTTCTCTGTTTGGATGATGATTTGGTAGGTTCAAATCTATAGTTAGAAGTTTGGGCTAGGTATGTCAACCTAATGCCTTTCTTGTAAATACTTTAAATTAGTTTAGAAGGTTAGATCTGTAATTCGCCTTTACAAGGTAGTAGTCATTTGACAATCAATATAAGGTTGAGTCTTCAAATCCCTCTATACAAAGTGTAGCAAGTACTATAGCATAATTAAAAATGTGCTCAAAATCTAATTATTATTAATAAATTTTAGACGTTAATTTTATTGTATTAAATTAATAGATCTAATACAGTTTGTAAGAGATAAAAAAATAATTTTATTGTAGCTTCAATAACTTTTTTTTAATATGTTATAAAAATTACAAATAGTTAAAAGAATAGTGTTATATTAAAAAATTATTGATTTTTTTATATTTTATAGATTACAACAATATCTTTTATTTAGTATTGTGTTGTAACATAGCTATTAGATAATAAAAAAAAAATATTATATTATATAATAATACAATTGAAAATATGATGAAAAATTACTTTATAATAATAGATAAAAATTAGAGAGGTAGTAAAAATAGTTTATTATTAATGTTGTTTTTTTTGTAAAAATGGCTTATATTTATTTATAGAGCCATAGATAAGATAAAACAAAGTAGATCAATAAAAATAATATTGTAGGTATCTTTAAGTGAATATAAAGAGTAGCTTCTAATAAAGTTATCTAAAAAATCTTAGATTAATACTTGGAGAGGATCAGTTGTGAATAAAGGTCAAAACCATGCCTTAAGCCACAAAATTGTATACCTATGGCAAAATAGAGCTTCTTTTTTAAAATAGAGGATAGAATTTGAAAGCAAACTTAATAGAGTTTTTTAGAGATTTAGTTTTAGAAATTTCAGTAGAATATGATTTTGAAAGAGCCTTGCAAAGTCATGGTTATTTTAGGTGACTCTATTTTTTTGTGGGATATAAAAAAGATTACATTTTGAAAAAATGAATAAGTTTTTTAACAATTTTTTTGATTTATGAATGTAGTTATATCAGATATACAATATGAAGCTGAAATCAATTAGATATTTAAATTAAAAATAATTAAAATTCAAGTGAATTAAAGTCTTAGAAATTAGATTTTGAATGTTAAATAAAAAACACGACCAACACTCAAGCAAGTTATGTAAATTTTCTTCTAATTTTTAAATTTATTTTTCTTAAATTTTTTTGTGCTTATTGTCAAATTAGTAGATTGAAAAGTGTGATAAATTTAAATCAAGACCAATTGTTAGATTAATAATTATTGTGGTTTTAAATACACTATAGAATTTACTTATGATTTTATTAGAATAATTTAGTACTTACTTATGATATGGTGTCACGGACATAGAAATACAAGCTCGAGATCTAACAAGAAGTTCAAGAAGAACTGGTAGGAACTAGATTAATCATATGAATACAAGAACAACACTAGAGAGGTGAGCTAGAGCTCGAAGAGATGTGTTATCGAGACTGAAGAACTGTCACGGACATACATATAATTACCTATATGAATAGATAAAAGTATGTAAAAGTAGGTTAATTGTGTAATATCTTCTAGAGAAGCTTCTTAGAAGCTTCATAGACGCTGCTTTGACTTTATAGGAGTCTATAGTTGACTTTTAGGTTAGAAACTTGGTCAACAAGTTAGCCATGTGCCACGCATGTTAGAAGCTTAAAGAACAAGCTAACTACGTGGTCCATCCATAGAAAACTTGCCTTGCAAGCAAAGGCATGTGGCCTAGAAAGTCAACATATATTGGAGGTCTTATAGAACATCGCCACGTGGCTTCTAGTTAGATAGTATATATAGAAGCAAGAGTGAAGCCCTCTTCACTCTTGTCAACTCCTTTCTTGCTTCTAGTCTAGTTTCAAGGGTCTCTAGTTTTCTTGTATTTTGGCAATAGCCATTCCAGTTTCTTTCTTAATATACATATTTCTATTTTGTCCTATTTCTTTTTGAGAAAAGTCTCACTTACTCTTTAGCTTTCATCGAGTTCTTGTCCTTGACAGATTGACAAGAGTCCACTTACAATATCAGAGCTTTGTCTTTTCTTGATTAAGAGTGGATTACCCCTTTTTCTTGATAAGACATAAGCGCATTAGAAGTTGCGGATTACCCTCTTTTAAACTGATATTGTTCTTAGTATTTTCTTTGTTATCAATTCCTCTCTTCTATTTGTTTTGAGCGTTATTAGGCATCTTCTCTTTTCTAAGTGCTACTATGGCAGAGCTTGTTGAAATGAAGAGTGCAATGGCACAGATGCAAGAACAATTGAGGGAGTTAATGCTTGCGATGCATCAACTCAATTTACCACCACAAGAAGCAACAAGAATGGTAGGAAGTGAAGATATAGAGATGATTGGGGCTGCTTCAACATCTGCACCAAACTATGTCCCTTCTCCCAGAATGGAACACCCTTCGAGTGTTAGAGAACCGAGAGTTGCCTTGCCCGAGAAGTTTGATGGTACCAGATCCAAGTTTCGAGGATTCATCAATCAGGTCCAACTAGTGATTGAACTTCAACCCCAGAGCTATCCAACTCCAGGGTCACAAGTAAGATTCATTGGTACACTTCTTTCAGGTTCAGCATTGTCATGGTTTTCATCTTTTCTTGAACGACGAGATCCAATATTGGATAATCTGAACGCTTTTTTGGCGGAGTTTTGATCCATGTTTGGAGAACATGATGCAATTCGTGTTGCAACCAACAAGATCCGTATTTTGCGACAAGGCAATCGATCAGTAACATTATATGCTTCGCAATTTCGACAACTTGCAACTGATATCAAGTGGGATGATGCCGCACTTGTGAGTCAATTTCTCTACGGATTACAATATGAGGTAAAGAAATTGATGCTTAATTTACCTGATCCTCAAACATTGAGTCAAGCAATTGACTTTGCTGTGAAGTGCGACAATCGACTTTTTGAATTTTGATCCGAGAGTCGCACAAGTGGGCCTCAACGTTACTACAATTCAATGGCAACACCGACGTCTCCTCAACACATACCTTCAGAAGTAGAGGATATGCAAATTGATGCGGTACGTTTCAAACCTCTTACTGAGCAAGAAAAGTCTCGTCGTCGACAAGAAGGATTGTGCTTATATTATGGAGAACCTAAGCACACTGCTCAACATTGTCCA